GATATTTTTTGAAGATTCACCTATTTTTTATGAACACACGCCTAAATTTTCAAGTAATTTATATTTATAAAAAAAAACAAAAATTCAAACACTATCGGACATCCGTGATCGTCAGATCGACCCAGATTCAATCTAGGCCGTTTGGCTTATACGTTCATATGAGCTAGTGGAAAAATATGGGATTAGCCCACTAGCTCATATGAACATATGAGCCCAACGGCGCAGATTGAATCTAGGCTGATCTGACAATCACAAATGTCTGGTAGTACTTGAATTTTTTTTTTTTTTCTCCAAATCACTTGAAATTTTAGGCGTGTGTTCTTCTCATCAAGTCGCACCCAATATAAAAAAAAAATTATTCATTCAAAATAAAATGACCAAAATATCCCTTGAATCTTTTCGGGGGTATTTTTGTCCATTTATTTCATGTAAAATAGTTTTTTTATATTTTTCGAAGATTTGTCTATTTTTTATGAATGCAAAGCCTAAAATTTTTAGTAATTTGAATTTGTAAAAAATAGAATAAAAATCAAACACTATCAAACATTCGTGATAATCAGATCGGCTCAAAATCAATCCGGGACATTGGGCTCATATATTCATATGAGCTAGTGGGCTAATCTCATGTTTTTTCATATATATATATATATATATATATATAGATAGACACACACACGCACACATGGGGAGTAGCCTCATGTCACCAGCTTATTAAAAACCATGTTTGTGGCATTATTATGGCCTAAATTTTGTGTAAGCATTCTCTTCGTCCCAACAGTCGATCCCCAAAAAAATAAAATTCAATTCGCACTTTAGAAAAATGGTCAAAGTGAATCCCCTCAAACCATGAATCTTGAATATCTATTTGGTGAATTTTAAGGCCTAGTTCTTTAGAAACTCAAATCGTTTTTTCCTTTTTTTTTCTTTTTTTTTATCATTATTCTTCTAATATCAACAAAGCCATCTACAAAATTTGGAAAAGGTAAAAGTATCTTTCTAAAGCCTAGATCCAAGTATCTCACCAAATGAACATCCTATATTAAGTGGGTTAAAAAACATTTTTTAAAGTACATTTTCAAATTTTACTTTTTTATTGTCATTCATCAAAATGAAAAAAATATTTAAAAATTGGAGTCGAACAAATAGCCTTACTATGGCTTATTAAGATTGTTTCATTATATATGAAAATTTTCTCTACCTTTGTGCTCAAAGAACAACGAAGAGAGAATGCTCCCATGCAGTGCATGCATCTCCAGTCCTCTCCATAGAAAATGAGGTTTCTTTCTAGTGTTTTATGTTATTTTTCTGTTCCAATACATTAAAAAGTAAATTTTGTTGGCTTGAAAAAAGTAAATTTGTTGAATCCCTTGTTTCACGATGGCGTTTACATTAGAAGAGGGCAAACATTATCTTGAAACATAAAATTGAGAGAGAGAGAGAGAGAGAGAGAGAGAGAGAGAGAGATGTGG